GTGCCCAGGGGCCCCCCCCCCCCAACTTCAGTTAGGTCCAGCAATAGTACACTGAAATGTAAGCATAGTTTTAAAGAGCTTAGGTTCGTTTTTAAAGTTTATAACTATGAGAATAGCCAATAAAAGCTAAACAGAGAATTTCTTAAGGTTATATATTTGTATAAGTTTATTTTGGAGTGACTTTCTAGTTACCAAATGTTATGTTACTAGATGTTACTAAATGTTATGTTAGAAAAGAAAGGGCATTATGTACTTGCAAAGCTGATTTTGTACAGTGCAATTACTAAGCTAAGGAAAATAGTTCCTAAAAATATACAAGCTAGATAATACAGTGGAGCATATCGATTGGTAGCCCACTAGACACAAAAAAATCTGCACTGTCCTAAATCTTTAACTAGTAATCTCTTTCACATTCAAAAATTTGTTGCTACTTTGCCATTCCTGAGATACTAAATCAGTGCTGACATAAATGGAAAGGAGGGGATTGAGAAGAAGGAAGAGACCATTCACTGTCCACCACTGTAGAACTTTTGATTACATCCAGGACCGTGCTTAAACCTTACACCCCAAGAACAATATTTCCAAGGTGGCTATGATTTTTTTAAATTCAGAATGCACTAGGAGGTTGTTTATTTATGCACCCCTTTTCCCTACAGACTGTTACATATCAGTCTCCCCCTTTTGCATTCCCTGCAGCTAGACAAATGACTGTCTTTTGTTAAGGTCTCAGGACTTTATGCATTACCACATTCAAAGAAAAACTGCTGGAGAGAGAGGCAAAAATAAAAGTGGGGGGAAAAAAAAACCATTTACTTATCAAACATTACTAAAACTAACTGTTTTTTGGGTCTACTTGGCTTTCTAGAGCTGTGTTAATTATAGAATTGAAACTTGCAGTAATTTACCAATCACTCATTTCTAGTTCAAGGCAGCAAAAATTATTCAGATTGGAATATCACAAGTCACAATTTGTTTGTTCACCCTTGGTATGTACATACCTATGACCAAAAGGAGAGGTACCTAGAACAGACAGATATGTAGGCAGAGATATTTAGTTAGCCATGTTAGTCTGAAGTCAGGTAGAAGGCAGGGTAGATTTGTACCTTGTACACTTGCTAGAATAGGTAGTGTAGGAGTCACAAAACTAGTCAAAGAGTGCATAGTGCAAATGACAACCTATTGTCTAAAGCACTTTAACCCTTACTGACAGTTATTTCAAAATGTATGCAATATTTGCCTGATGACTACTAAGCATTCTTTACATAAAATCCCCTAAAACAAAAAACCTTTTCCTGGTTTTAAAAGTAGGGGGAGGACTAAGTCTGAGGTATAATAAAAAGCAACTCACGTGCCCTTTTAATATGCTCAACTTTTTCACTGCATGTGCCCATATTCTCTGCAGAGCTTGAGCTGTCTTCATTGTTGCAGGATATAATCTGTTAAGGGGACTCTGTGCATCCCAGTCTTTTCATCAGTTTTCACCACTGACACTGTTATGTAATTCTAATACAATAGTGGCCTACATACTCAACAAATCCTGCAGTCAGTTCCACACAGTAACACATCAAAACCACAGTAGAGAAATCTCCTAATACCTAATCAAACTCCTCTTCCAAGAGACAAAAACAACCCAGCACAGTAATCTTAATTATTTTAGGAAAATTAATTTAACTGCAAGTGTCTGAACAACAGATCAACATGTATATACACACCGAAGGTACACATTTCAAATATGTAGTGCTTGCAAACTTTTTCCTACAAATACACCAGAAACTTTAAGACAAGATAGTTTAAGAAATGAACTTGTGGTTATTTAAAATCTCAGAGGGTGGTAACAGTATTCTGTGTTGAAACTGAATATTTTGCTCAATTCTTTGAAGACTATTATCTAACACCATATTGAACAACCTTTGACTATCATAAGTCTTACAATGCAACTGTTCAGTACCAGCCCAGCGTGATGTGTAAATTTATTTACATGTCTAAATGACTGCAGGATTAGAGACTTATATTGCCTTATTAAACACAAAGCAAGCAGATTCAAGAGAACAGCAGGCCAGTATCTTCAATGGCTGCAAATTCTATTTATCTCCTGAACAAGCATTACAAGGGAGGAGGGGAGAGGAATAATAACAACAAAAAAGTTAGCCATACATCCCAAGAGATCACCTTATCAGAAAACGAGGTAACATACCAGTACTATAAGTGCAAAGCAAATGGTATAAACTTCTGAATTTATAATCAAAAACAATTTCCCCCTAGGCTTTATGTAAGAAAGTGTCACAGAATCTTAGCTTAAAATGTCAAGCATATAGAGAAACAGACATTTGTGCCAAATTTAGCATGCACGCACCTATGAAAAAAAACAGCTTGCAAATTCAATCTTTCCGTATTGGGATAACGATGCAACAGCTTAAAGTTTAAGATTCTGACAGAAAAAGGAAGGTCTTTTTGTTCTTTAAAAAAAAAAAGGGGGGTGTGTGTGGAAGGAGAAAGGTTCAACACAGAGTCCAGCAATATAAGCTTGACCACATCATCTTCTACACCTCTCAGCACTGACCAGGATAGCCAAAATAGAAACATGGCACAGCTGTCAACAGCACACCATCATCATCTCTGTGACACTACCATAAAAAGACAAATTGTTTCATATTAACAGGAGAGCTCACAGTGCTTTAAAACTTAGCTAGCAGAACCAAGAGCCAAATTCAGCACCTCTAAGAGGAGAAAGAGAAAACAGGCTAAAAAACAAATACAATACATAACATCTCTCCCAACTAATACACACCTGATTATCAGCTACAGAAGTCAGGAAACTTTAAGAAAGGCACTGATTTGGGAAGGACAAAGATTTTGCATCGCTATTAAAAAGTCACCAGAAACTCAAAAGACAAAGCATGGATATACATATGGAGGTAACAAAGGTGTAAACATTATATTTTACCCCTTTTATAATTGGGTTGGCTGGCTTAAGGAGGACAAAAATCTTAAAAACTAAAGTTATACACACAACCCACAATAATATAGCCAGAAGGACCTTTTTACCTGTAAATAATGTTTCTGAATCTCAGATGTCATTTTGCTGCTGGAGCAGGTAGCTGCAATCACACTGAAGTGCTCAGGACTTACTGCCCTGTCACTGCTCTCCTTTGTTCCACAACTAAAGTGTCCAGAGCACTCCAAACAGGAAATTAATATTAAACAAGAAAAAGAAGAGAATAAACAGAAGAGGCTGACAATGCCTAGTTTTGAGAACTTGGAAACTTGCAGATTGAACCAGAATCTATCCAGTAATAGTAGGATCACATCTCTGGTGCGATTAGAAGAGTGAGGTCTTAGTTTGCTTGGATCTTGCCAACCTTTTTGGGCACCAGAGTAAGTGGGTGAAAGAGATATGAAAGACTGAACCCAGCAGAGCAGCCAGGCATCTAGACTAAGTGCCAGGCTTGAAAAGGTTCTGTTGCAAAACTGAAGAATGCCCCTCTTGCACAAATCATAAAATACATTCCCAAGAGGGTGAGGTGTTGAAAAGCAAAGAGCAGGCTCTTGGCTGTGAACCTCTCTAGATGGAGGTATTCCACTATTTTCGGAATCAGATCTTCTACAGACTCTGGTAAAAAATGAATCTTGAAGCAAACAATTGTCCAAGCAACCAACCAACAGCTCTGTGCCACCTGTCTGCAGGTAGGTAGTCTGCATCTTTGAAAAGAGATATGGGACTGAGGCAAATTTGGAAAGAAATAACAAATAATGCAGGCAATCTCTCTGCTGTTAGGCAGGCACTAGCATGCAGAGAGAAGAATCTTGGTGATACACAGCTCACATCAATTATTTCAGTTCCTGGATGTGAAAGATTTGCCTTATTTTTTTCATGCAGGCTTGCAGATAAGCAAATTAGTTCCTTGATAATCTCTTGCATGACAGGAAAAGTATGGTAATTTGAATGTTTTGCAGATGATGCCCAGGTTCCAGGATTTGAGAGAATGAGAAGAGGAGACTTTGAAGGAGAGATGGACATTTCAGAACACCTTCAGGATAACTCCAGGGTAACAATAAGGAGAAAACCCTGCAAGTTTCTCTCCATTGACTGACAAAAAAGAAAAACTCCTTCCTTACTAAAGGAAATCAGGATTCTTGGTAAGACCGGTGCTGATTGATACAGCATCTTCTATTGCACCCAGAGGAGTGAAGGGACTGGTTTCTCTGATAACTGTATCTGTACCTACCATGTCTAGTCGAGGGAGGGGAATACCTGATGTCCCTGTTAGGTCTCTTGTAGGAAGAGTTAAGGGACTGGGGGCGGGGGGTGTTCTCCTCCTACCACAGCCTTAGAAAGATCTTTTAAGGCCTCGTCTAAACTTCCCCCAAATAGATGACCCCCATCATAAGGAAGGCCAACAAGTTTGAATTTGGCTGAAAGTTCTCCACCTGTTAAGGGACGGATCCAAAGGGCTCTCCTTGCTACTATGAGAGTTGCCATATTACAGGCCGCCAAATGGAGAGAATCCTGAGCGGCATTATGAAGATAGCGTGATGCCAGGTCACAAAGGGTATGCACCTTATGAGCTGACTTAGAAAGAGCCCTCTTAGATGATGGAAATAATTTCCTGAGCCATTCCACCAGTGACCTAGCAGCATAAAGGGAATAAATGGAGACTGAAAGTTGGCTAGCTGCAAATTCATAGGAACTCTTAAGAGTTTCATCTACCTTACGATCTAAGGGATCCCCGAGAACAAACCTCTCACCAGAAGACCAGAAGAGAGATGCTATTACTGAATCAACTCTTGTTGCAGAGGCCCACAGCTTCTCTTTTTCTGCTGGAAGTTTGTACAGTTTAGCCAGGTGAGCCAGTAATAGAAACTGAGCATCTGGAGCCTGCCAGATGTTTCTAATTAAATTGCTGATGGATGGATGAAGAGGAATGGCATCATCTGCTTCTTCCTCTACCACAGGGGGAAATTTCTTTAAGCCATTCTGTGAGATAGAACTTTTTAGCTCAAGCTCCTTTGTAAGATACTTGCACAGGTAGAGTAGATCCTCCTCCAGGAATTTTCTAGATGAGTTTGTTCTGCCTGGTGCTTCCTCACCATCAGAGGACACCACTTCCCTTTTCTCAGCGGGGTTGCAGGAGGTGTGCGCAAAACTGGTAGACAACTTCACTCTCTTTTCCATCCGGGATTTTATGGTTGAATGTGATTTGTATGGCTCAACTTCAGGCTCCAATATCAACTCCCCTTCCTTGATGGAGTCAGTTATGAAAGGAAATGGAGGCACTGTTCGTACTGAATCCCTTTTGGCAGATAATCCTCTAAACACTCTGCTATCCATCACAGCTTTCTTTGGAGCTCTGGCAGCTAAAGAAAGAGAAAGCTTGTGTAGGGCAGGGTTGTTAAAGCCCCACTGATCTGCTAATCTTAGCAGGAGGTGCTTGGGAAACAGAAGAATGCATGGGAGCCTCTGCCTTCACAAATGCCTTATTGAAAATAGAGGCATGGTCTTGCAAAACACTAAGCATCAAGGTCACATCTCCCACAGATTCACTTGGAGCAGAAGGAAGATTAGGAGAAGAATTTCCTACCTCCTGTACAGGCCTATGTCCTGATGAAATAAATCCTTCTGCAGGGTAGCTGGCTGGCACTAAGTTGCAGGCCCCAGATTACCAAAGAATGCAGATACTTGGACCCCAAAGACAAGCCAGATCCATAAGAATGGTGACCCGGCTGAACATCCTTTGCAAACTGTTTTGCCACTTTCTGCTTTACCTTTCAGGTTAGCTCTATAGTTTTAGAAAAGTACTGGAAAAAAAGTGTGCAACTGATTTTCAGCAAGGCAGAGAGAAAAATAGGGAGAATGAGAAGATAAGACTGTGACTGATGGTAAAGACCATCACAATGCTGTATGAAATGTAACTGGTGCTGTTGTGTCTGCAACTCAGGCAAACAAGGAACCATTTGCCTGTCCAGGTGGGAGTATGCAAAGGTTAGGAAAGCAGTAGCTTTGTTTAAATCAATGTCAAATCACCAAAACAAATAATAAATATGACATATTATACAAGTAATAACGGACACCAATATGTGACACCCTTTTAGCAATGCCCCAACAGCCCTTAATGAGCAGAAGACAAAGTACGCTGATGCACATATTATTCCCTTCATCCTCAAGTGTGCAACTGTCAGGTAACTAGAGGCTTGTAGAAACTGTATTTATTACTAAGCTTTCTGCAGTATCACCTTCACATTTGACCCAACCAAGTCCACTCTGCTGAGAAGATTTAGTCAAGGTGGATTTAATCCCCTGCCCCTCTTCACCCCCAAAACAAATCCCAACGGTTAAAAAAAAAAATACATATATTAAAAAAAATGTATTTTTTAAAATTTAAATCAGATTTTTTAAATTTTATTTTATTTTAAGATGCTTTTTAAAAAAAAATCTATTTGAAGATGGTTTTAAATTTAAGATATATTAAAAGCTCAAAGATATCACCATGAAATAGGGATTATCATTACATATTATTTGAGACAATACGTTCACGTAACCTTAAGAAAAGTTTTCTAAATAGATCACAACATGGACTATATTAGGGGCCCAGTATCATGGGGTTCCCATGGGCTCCTTATAGATTTGTAAAGATTAAAGAAAACTACTCTACCCAATGGGACTCAGTGCTCAGTCTCTGTGATGCTTCGTTTCAGTTCTCAAACTGTGGATTTGTGTCTCCAGAGATAACATCCTTGTTAACAGCAGTATATAGAGATGAGAGATTACAGATCTGTTGTCTGTTTGTAAGCTTACGTACACAGAGTCAAGCCCTTACCCCTCTCTAAAAGTGCAAAGTTTCAAGAAAAATTAATAGAGGATTGTTGGGGGTAGAGTAGATCTGGGCAAGGGGGAGGAGTCTGGAGATAAATGCAAAGAGGGAGGGGCAGTAGAAACAAAAGAGAATCATTTTGAGCAGAATTTTGTTGAAATTGCAAAATACTTCCATGTCAGCCACTTTGCAGCAGCTGCTCTGAAGAAAGCAGGAGGAATCAAACTACCTGTCACACAAGACATTCTATTGAACTCAGGAGTGGACTTTTTTGAGCAATATATTGAGAACTGATCTAATCTGATGACAATTTGTGAACAATATCATGACAAAATAGATGGAATTGTCATAGCCAATAGTTCTTAACATTGACTAAAGAGAAATGTAGAATGTACACTAACCATCCTGAAGCCTATTTCCATAGCCTTAAGCAAAGATGATATCAAACAACAAGAATGCACTTTTTGTAGAAATCAGGTATTAAACTGCTATCTTCCATGTTTTGGGGTTGTTGGTTGTAGTCGTGTTGGGCTAAGGACACAGGCAGGCAAGGTTCTTGTGGTAGATGTGATGTCTTTTATTAGACCAACTAAATAGTTGGAAAAAACGTTCTTTGCAAGCTTTCAGGCACAAACGCCTGAAGGTGTAGGGAGACTCTGCTGGTGGTATGTGTTCTCCAAGGTAGAAAAGAAGCTAATTTTCAACATGCAGGTCTGTGAAAATGCAAATGAGTGGCAGTTTGGGAGACAATGGATGGAGACAGGAAGGGAGTGGGGGAGAGAGGAAGGAAGGAAATGTGTGAACGAATGTAGCATGGTCTGGATCACCACGAATAGTACACCATTAGTTATGACATACCATCCTTCCCTGGAGCCTATACAGAAAATCCTCAAATAGTTGCAATCCATGTTGTAAGATGACCCAGTTCTTAAAGCAGTCTTTCCAGAACCACCCATCCTAGCCTTTAAGCAAGCACTGAACCTCACTAACCTCATCACCAGAAGCAAACGTCCTATGGCCCAAACCAAAATCGATCCAGACCATGCCTGAACAAAAACTGTAAAACCTGCCACCACATCTCCACTAGTCCCACAATAACTATGCCCCACAATGTTCATAGATTCATAGACATTAGGGCTGAAAGGGACCTCAGAAGATCCCCAGGGGCAGGAAGTCAGCAGGGGTCATTGGATCCCAGCAAGATAAACATCCATATGTCTCTTAAAGACATTCAAAGTAGGTGCTTGAACCACCTCCGGTGGCAATCTATTCCAAACCTTGCCACTGCTACTTGTTGCCAGGGAACCAAATGTCTACACAACATGTGGATGTGGCCATGGAGTTCACAGGAAGTCCTAAATAAATATCTTGTGATACAGCCAATGCAGAAGGTCCCTGGCTTTGCTCTTCCATGACACTCATGGGCAACTTTAAACCATATCCACACAAACCATGGGAGATACAGATACTTAATGCACAAATGAAAAATTAAAAGCTCTCCAGTGTGCAACTGTGGTCACCCAAAACAAACCATGGAACATAATGACTCAATGCCCAATCCAAAAATATGAAGGAGGTATCACAGCAATACACTTT